AGGCAGGTGTGTGTCAGGCCAGGCAGGTGTGTGTGTCAGGCCAGGAAGGTGTGTGTCAGGCCAGGTAGGTGTGTGTCAGGCCAGGCAGGTGTGTGTGTCAGGCCAGGTAGGTGTGTGTCAGGCCAGGCAGGTGTGTGTGTCAGGACAGGCAGGTGTGTGTCAGGCCAGGTAGGTGTTTGTCAGGACAGGCAGGTGTGTGTCAGGCCAGGTAGGTGTGTGTCAGGCCAGGCAGGTGTGTGTCAGGCCAGGCAGGTGTGTGTGTCAGGCCAGGAAGGTGTGTGTCAGGCCAGGCAGGTGTGTGTGTCAGGCCAGGCAGGTGTGTGTGTCAGGCCAGGTAGGTGTGTGTCAGGCCAGGCAGGTGAGTGTGTCAGGCCAGGCAGGTGTGTGTCAGGCCAGGTAGGTGTGTGTCAGGCCAGGCAGGTGTGTGTGTCAGGCCAGGTAGGTGTGTGTCAGGCCAGGCAGGTGTGTGTGTCAGGCCAGGAAGGTGTGTGTCAGGCCAGGAAGGTGTGTGTCAGGCCAGGCAGGTGTGTGTCAGGCCAGGTAGGTGTGTGTGAGGCCAGGTAGGTGTGTGTCAGGCCAGGCAGGTGTGTGTATCAGGCCAGGCAGGTGTGTGTCAGGCCAGGCAGGTGTGTGTGTCAGGCCAGGCAGGTGTGTGTCAGGCCAGGTAGGTGTGTGTCAGGCCAGGCAGGTGTGTGTCAGGCCAGGTGTGTGTGTGTCAGGCCAGGCAGGTGTGTGTGTCAGGCCAGGCAGGTGTGTGTCAGGCCAGGTAGGTGTGTGTCAGGCCAGGCAGGTGTGTGTGTCAGGCCAGGTAGGTGTGTGTCAGGCCAGGCAGGTGTGTGTGTCAGGCCAGGAAGGTGTGTGTCAGGCCAGGTAGGTGTGTGTCAGGCCAGGCAGGTGTGTGTCAGGCCAGGTGTGTGTGTGTCAGGCCAGGCAGGTGTGTGTCAGGCCAGGCAGGTGTGTGTCAGGCCAGGCAGGTGTGTGTGTCAGGCCAGGCAGGTGTGTGTCAGGCCAGGTAGGTGTGTGTCAGGCCAGGCAGGTGTGTGTCAGGCCAGGTGTGTGTGTGTCAGGCCAGGCAGGTGTGTGTCAGACCAGGCAGGTGTATGTGTCAGGCCAGGCAGGTGTGTGTCAGGCCAGGCAGGTGTGTGTGTCAGGCCAGGCAGGTGTGTGTCAGGCCAGGCAGGTGTGTGTCAGGCCAGGTGTGTGTGTGTCAGGCCAGGTAGGTGTGTGTCAGGCCAGGCAGGTGTGTGTGTCAGGCCAGGAAGGTGTGTGTCAGGCCAGGTAGGTGTGTGTCAGGCCAGGCAGGTGTGTGTCAGGCCAGGCAGGTGTGTGTGTCAGGCCAGGAAGGTGTGTGTCAGGTCAGGCAGGTGTGTGTGTCAGGCCAGGAAGGTGTGTGTCAGGCCAGGCAGGTGTGTGTGTGTCAGGCCAGGTAGGTGTGTGTCAGGCCAGGCAGGTGTGTGTCAGACCAGGAAGGTGTGTGTGTGTCAGGCCAGGTAGGTGTGTGTGTCAGGCCATGTAGGTGTGTGTCAGGCCAGGCAGGTGTGTGTGTCAGGCCAGGCAGGTGTGTGTGTCAGGCCAGGCAGGTGTGTGTCAGGCCAGGCAGGTGTGTGTGTGTCAGGCCAGGTAGGTGTGTGTGTGTCAGGCCAGGTAGGTGTGTGTGTGTGTCAGGCCAGGCAGGTGTGTGTCAGGCCAGGCAGGTGTGTGTGTGTCAGGCCAGGTAGATGTGTGTGTGTCAGGCCAGGTAGGTGTGTGTGTGTCAGGCCAGGCAGGGTGTGGTTCGGCCAGCATGTGTGTGTCAGGCCAGTAGGTGTGTGTGTCAGGCCAGCAGGTGTGTGTGTCAGGCCAGGCAGGTGTGTGTGTCAGGCCAGCAGGTGTGTGTCAGGCCAGGTAGGTGTGTGTGTCAGGCCAGCAGGTGTGTGTGTCAGGCCAGGTAGGTGTGTGTGTCAGGCCAGGCAGGTGTGTGTGTGTCAGGCCAGGCAGGTGTGTGTGTCAGGTAGGGGTCAGGAGCAGGTGTGGTCAGGCGGAGGTGTGTGTGTCAGGCCAGCAGGTGTGTGTGTCAGGCCAGGTAGGTGTGTGTGTCAGGCCAGCAGGTGTGTGTGTCAGGCCAGGCAGGTGTGTGTGTCAGGCCAGCAGGTGTGTGTGTGTCAGGCCAGCAGGTGTGTGTGTCAGGCCAGGCAGGTGTGTGTGTGTCAGGCGGCAGGTAGTGTGTGTGGCAGGCCAGGCTAGGTTGTGTGGCAGGCCAGCAGTGTGTGTGTGGGTCAGCGTTGGTTAGGCCAGGCAAGTGTGGTGGGCATGGGTGTGGTGTGGGACCAGGCAGTGTGGTGTGGGCCAGGCAGGTTTGAGTGGAGCCAGGCATGTGTGTGTGTGTGAAACCAGACAGTGTGAGTGTAGGCATGGCAGTGTGTGTGGGACCAGGCAGGTGTGGTGTGAGACCAGGCAGGTGTGTGGGCAAGTGTGTGAGGGCCAGGCAGGTGTGATGTGAAGGCCAGGCAGGTGTGTGTGTGAAGGCCAGCAGGTGTTGAGGCCAGGATGTGTGTGTGGGACCAGGCAGGTGTGTGTGTGGAGCCAGGCAGGTTGTGAGGCCAGGCAAGGTGTGTGTGAGGCCAGTAGCATGTGTGTGTAAGGCCAGGCAGGTGTGTGGGTAGTGTGAGGCCAGGCAGGTGTGTGTGAGGCCAGGCAGTGTGTGTGAGGCCAGGCATGTGTGTGTGTGAGGGCCAGGCAGGTTGTGTGAGGCCAGGCAGGTGTGTGTGAGCAGGTGATGTGGAGCCAGGCAGGTGTGTGTGAGGCCAGGCAGATGTGGTGGCCATGGGTGTGTGTGTGAGGCCAGCAGGTGTGTGTGTGGGGCCAGGCAGTGTGTGTGTGGGGCAGGCAGGTGTGTGTGATGCCAGCTAGTGTGTGTGTGTGTCAGTGAGTGTGTGTGTGAGCCAGCAGATGTGTGTGTGATTGTGTGTGTGTGTAATGCCTAGTCGTGTGTGTGTGTGAGGTCAGGCAGTGTGTGTGTGGTCAGCAGGTGTTGTGTCTTGAGTTATGGTGTTGTGTGTGTGTGTGCTATGTGTGTCTCTGTGTTGTGTGGTTTGTGTGAGTGATACTCACCTATTGTGGTTGCAAAGGTCGATTCATAGCTCTTGGCCCCGCCTCTTCACTGGTCGCTTCTACGTCCACTCCCTGCTCCAACAGCATCATCGTACCTCACCATAAAGCTGTGTATGGATCCTGCATCCACTACATCACTCCACTTCCTAACATCTCTTAAAATAAACAGAGTACTTTCCAGCATCCCTTTAAACTGAGTGTTCAACTTCCAGTTGCGTCCTCTCGTTCCCGTGTGTACTCACCTGTAGATATTGTGTATATACCTGGTACTCGTCAGAGTAACATTCTCGAGGACACTGTCGTACCTACTCTTAAAAATGTGCCAAGTGAGATTAGTCATGTTAGACAAAATAAGCGAGTTAATATGGCCAGTAGGCCTAGCATGAGCCACTAGGCCTAGCGTGAGCCACTAGGCCTAGCGTGAGCTAGTAGGCCTAGCATGAGCCACTAGGTCTAGCATGAGCCACTAGGCCTAGCATGAGCCACTAGGCCTAGCGTGAGTCAGTAGGCCTAGCATGAGCCACTAGGCTTAGGGTGAGCTAGTAGGCCTAGCATGAGCCAGTAGGTCTAGCATGAGCCACTAGTCTTAGCATGAGCCACTAGGCCTAGCATGAACCACTAGGCCTAGAGTGAGCAAGTAGGTCTAGCGTGAACCAGTAGGCCTAGCATAAGCCAGTGTGATATAGGTCAACTGAGGTCACAGGCTGACCTCACCAGCCAGTGTAAATTGTCACACTCCTTGGATGTCACCGCTGCCACCATGTGAGTCTGTCACCACCCTCTCTGTCTACTGTATCCCGGCAAGTGAACGTCTACATTGTTACCACAGGGCTTAACAAGCAGGGAATAGCATAAAAGGGGCACTAATATAAAAATATAAATGGAAACAACGGCTTGTACTCACTCTTAATTCAGCAAGTAGCTGACCTGGGGTCCACCCTACGTGGCCCACTACACACTCGGCTGTCCACAACTCTCTCTCACAGACCTAACACAGTAACTCTATCCCTATCTCCTCTCTAGAGTTTATATCGTCCTGCCTGTATCCCCCCTTAAGCTCAGATTTTTGGGGGGTCACCCTCTATGGGTCACAACACCTGTTATCGTACCGAAGGTAGATCTCGCCAGTCTGTGTGACCCCTCCTTACTGCCACCGTCAACAACACAAGACCTGACACTTGCGGCGCCAGGAGTTATCCAGCACTTCCCTGGCCAGGCAACGACTGTGTCAATATACTCTGGTTGGTGAAATCAGCCTGTGACCTCAGTTGACCTACATCACACCAGTAGGCCTAGAGTGAGCCAGTATGCCTAGCATGAGCCAGTAGGCCTAGCGTGAGCCAGTAGGCCTAGTGTGAGCCAGTAGACTAGCGTCAGCCAGTGGGCCTAGTGTGAGCCAGTAGACCTAGCGTCAGCCTGTAGGCCTAGTGTGAGCCAGTAGACCTAGTGTGAGACAGTAGGCCTAGTGTGAGCCAGTAGGCATATGGTTGGTAGTGCCTGACGTTACATTGTCTGTTGCAGGTGAGGTTGAGCCAGTAGACCTAGCGTCAGCCAGTAGGTCTAGTGTGAGCCAGTAGGCCTAGTGTGAGCCAGTAGGCATATGGTTGGTAGTGCATGACGTTAAATTGTCTGTTACAGGTGAGGTTGAGCCAGTAGACCTAGCGTCAGCCAGTAGGTCTAGTGTGAGCCAGTAGGCCTAGTGTGAGCCAGTAGGCATATGGTTGGTAGTGCATGACGTTAAATTGTCTGTTACAGGTGAGGTTGAGCCAGTAGACCTAGCGTCAGCCAGTAGGTCTAGTGTGAGCCAGTAGGTCTAGTGTGAGCCAGTAGACCTAGCGTCAGCCAGTAGGTCTAGTGTGAGCCAGTAGGCATATGGTTGGTAGTGCATGACGTCACATTGTCTGTTACAGGTGAGGTTGGGTCAAGACTTAACGGACCTTACCTGCTCTACTTGTTAAACAACCCAGACAACATGCATGCAGGTACGTCTGTCTGTCTGTCTGCCTGTCTGTCTGCCTGCTTGTCTGCCTGTCTGTCTGTCTGCTTGACTGACCTCCCCTGACCACGTGACTTCGTCCACTTCTTTCTGCCTTAATTATTTAAGTTCATTTTCTCGTATTTAATTTTGTTGTGTTTGTAATCTGTTGTGTTGTGTTTGTAATCCGTTTTATCTGTTATCTTTCTCTGTCTCTCTCTCTGTCTCTCTCTCTCTCTCTCACTACCGCCAGTGTACTTAGTAACGCCGGGTACATCAACAAGGTGGCAATATAAACACAAATGCAGTATAATGTGATCCTTTATTGACTACGTTTCGCCCACACAGTGGGCTTTTTCAAGTCACAAACAGAACTACCTGGGGTGGAAGGAACGCGAGTATTTATAGTCCAGCTGAGGTCAGGTGAAGAATGCTGCATCTGATGATGTACCGAGTGGGGTTATAGAGTCTAAAAACTTGGGTAGCTTGGAAAGGAGATTGGATAAGTTGTGAGCAGACCTTCTACAGTGTTCTTATGTGGGATAGCGATGAAGAAGTTTCTTGGCAAGTGGTTCAGCTATGTTATAGAAGCCACTATTCTGGTTGAAGTTGTCGGATATAGAAATAAGTGATGATTCCAGGATTCTTCGGTATTGAGTGTTGTCTTCTGTGGCGATAAGTCTTGAGTTTCTGTAGTTTATCAAGTGGTTGTGTGAATTACGGTGTTGTACGCAGGCATTCCTTGTGTCGTCAGACCTGCTTGCGTATTGGTGTTCTGAAATACGTGTTTGGAGGTCCCTTGATGTTTCGCCCACGTATAACTTGTTGCAGTCATTACAAGGGATTATGTATACAAGCCTCCATCCTTCAATGACTGCAACAAGTTATACGTGGGCGAAACATCAAGGGACCTCCAAACACGTATTTCAGAACACCAATACGCAAGCAGGTCTGACGACACAAGGAATGCCTGCGTACAACACCGTAATTCACACAACCACTTGATAAACTACAGAAACTCAAGACTTATCGCCACAGAAGACAACACTCAATACCGAAGAATCCTGGAATCATCACTTATTTCTATATCCGACAACTTCAACCAGAATAGTGGCTTCTATAACATAGCTGAACCACTTGCCAAGAAACTTCTTCATCGCTATCCCACATAAGAACACTGTAGAAGGTCTGCTCACAAACTTGTCCAGTCTCCTTTCCAAGCTACCCAAGTTTTTAGACTCTACAACCCAACTCGGTACATCATCAGATGCAGCATTCTTCACCTGACTCAGCCGGACTATAAATACTCGCGTTCCTTCCACCCCAGGTAGTTCTGTTTGTGACTTGAAAAAGCCCACTGTGTGGGCGAAACGTAGTCAATAAAGGATCACATTATACTGCATTTGTGTTTATATTGCCACTGTGTCGGTATTTTATACCATTTATTTCACATCAACAAGGTAACAGAATGTTAAATTAGACACATGTGCAACTCTTGGGTATCTTTGTGGAGGAAACGTTTCGCCACACAGTGGCTTCATCAGTCCATACAAAGGAGAATCTTGAAGAACAGGAGGAGAATGAGGTAATCAGTCCCTCAACCTTGAGTCGATGTTGTCAGTCCATCAATCTTGAATAGAATACGTGCGGAGAAGGAGCTTATAAACCGTAAGGCAGGAGAGGTGCAGCAGTCGTAGGTGGTGTCACACTTGTTCAATGTGGAAGTAGGCCGTGCCCAAGGTCGTGCCCAAGGTCGTGCCCAAGAATTAGGCAAGCGAAGAATTCCCAAGTATTAAGATCCCCAGAAGTTGCAGTGTCGGACAGGTTTGTAGATGGGAATTCTTCGCTTGCCTAATTCTTGGGCACAACCTTGGGCACGACCTTGGGCACGACCTTGGGCACGACCTTGGGCACGACCTACTTCCACATTGAACAAATGTGACACCACCTACGACTGCTGCACCTCTCCTGCCATACGGTTTATAAGCTCCTTCTCCGCACGTATACTATTCAAGATTGATGGACTGACAACATCGACTCAAGGCTGAGGGACTGATTACCTCATTCTCCTCCTGTTCTTCAAGTTTCTCCTACGTATGGACTGATGAAGCCACTGTGTGGCGAAACGTTTCCTCCACAAAGATACCCAAGAGTTGCACATGTGTCTAATTTAACAACATGTGGGTACAAAGGTAACAGAATAACGTAATAAGTTAATAAAGGAAGTTAACAAAGGTTTGTTAACATTAAGGCGAGTGTTAACTCTCCTTCTCAAGTACCCGGTGTTATATTTGTTAAGTGTTAACTTGTTAACTAATATTTAACATCACTGATAATATGTACTAACAAGGTTAACTTTCTTCTGTTAATCAGGTTAATTTAGATCTGACGTGATGGGGTTAATTAACTAGTTTTAACAGTGTTAATTTTCAGTGTTAACTTTTAGTGCTAACAATGTTAACTTAGAGTGGTGGTAGTGGTAGTAGTAGTGGTAGTGGTGGTGGTGGGAGTGGTGTTAGTAGTGGTAATAGTGGTGGTGGTAGGGGTGGTGGTAATAGTGGTAGTGGTGGTGGTAGTGGTGGTGGTAGTGGTGGTGGTGGTAGTGGTGGTAGTGGTAATGGTGGTTGTAGTGGTGGTGGTAGGGGTGGTGGTAATAGTGGTAGTGGTGGTGGTAGTGGTGGTGGTAGTGGTGGTGGTGGTAGTGGTGGTAGTGGTAATGGTGGTTGTAGTGATAGTGGTGGTGGAAGTGATGATAGTAGTGGAAGTGGTGGTGGTGGTAAAGGGGGTAGTAGTGGTGATAGTAGTGGTAGTAGTGGTGGTAGTAGTAGTAGTGGTGATAGTAGTGGTAGTGGGGTCGTAGCAGGGGTAGTGGTGATAGTAGTTGTGGTAGTGGTGGTTGTGGTAGTGGTGGTGGTAATAGTGGTTGTGGTAGTAGTGGTGGTAGTAGTGGTAGTGGTGGTAGTAGTGTGTAGTGGTGGTAGTAGTGGTAATAGTGGTAGCGGTGGTAGTGGTGGTAGTGGTGGTAGTAGTGGTAGTGGTGGTAGTAGTGGTAGTGGTGGTAGTAGTGGTAATGGTGGTAGTGGTGGGAGTAGTGGTAGTGGTGGTAGTAGTGGTAGTGGTTGTAGTAGTGGTGGTGGTGGTAGTGGTGGTAATAGTGGTAGTGGTGGTATTTAGTGTAGTGGTTTTAGTAGGGGTTTAGTGTGGTAGTAGGGGTTTAATGGTGGTTGTAGTGGTAATAGTGGTAGTAGGGGTTATTTAGTGGAAAGTGGTGGTAGTAGGGTAGTGGTGTAGAAGGGGTTGGTGGTGGTAGGGGTTTTGTTGTAGTAGTGGTAGTAGTGGAGTGGGTAGTAGTGGTAGTGGTGGTGTAGTGGTGTAGTGGAGTGGTGGTGGTAGTGTGGTAGTGGTGTTAGTAGTGGGTGGTGGGTTGTGGTATAGTGGAGGGTGGTAGTAGTGGCAGGGTGGTTTTGTGGTAGTGTGGTAGTGGTGGAGAAAGTGGTGGTTGAAGTGGTGGTGGTGGTGGTAGTGGTGGTAAGTGGAAGGGGTGGTAGTGGTGGAAATAGGGGTTTAGTGGTGGTAGTTGGTGGGGTAGGTGGTAGTGGTGTTAGAGTGGTAGTGGTGTGTTGTGGTAGTGGTGTAGTGGTGGTAGAGTGGTATGTGGTGTTGTGGTAGTGGAAAGGGGTAGTGGTAGTGGGTAGTGTGGTAGTGGTGGTAGTGTGGTAGTGGTGGTATTTGTAGTGTGGTAGTGGTGGTAGTTGGTGGCATGGTAGTGGTGTTGTAGTGGTATGGTGGTAGTAGGTGGGTGGTGTAGCATTGTGGTGTTGAGTGTTAGTGGTGGTGTAGGGTTAGTGTGGTAGGGGGAAGGGGTTATGGTTTAGTGTGTAGTGGTGGAGTTAGTGGTTAAGTGTGGTACGTGTATGCTATTTGGTAGTGATGTAGTAGTGGTATGGTAGTTGGTGGTAGTTAGTTATTGGTTAAAGTGGTGGTAAGTGTAGTGGTGTTGTGTGTTAGTGTGGTAGGGTTTGGTAGTCAGTGGAAAGTTGTTAGTGTTGGTAGTGGTGTAGTGGTGTAGATAGTGGTTGTGGTTTAGTGGTGGAGTGGTGGTAGTTAGTGGTGTTAGTAGTGGTTTTTGTGGTAGTTGTGGGGTTTTAGTGGTATGTTTTTGTAGTGTGTTGGTTTAGTGTGTGGTGGATTGGTAGAGTGGTAGTGGTGTAGTTTAGTGGTAGTTCGTCTGGTAGTGTGGTTGTGGTTAGTGTGTTTTGTGTGGTAGGTGTGTAGTGGTAGTGGGGGTTTAGTTGTGGTAGTAGTGGTAGTGGTAGTGTAGTGTAGTGGTGGTAGTTGTGGTTTGTAGTATTGGTAGTTTCTTGGTAAGTGGTTGGTTGTGGTAGGGTGGTAGTGTGGTAGTGTGTGGTAGTGGTTTATGGTTTAGTAGTAGTTGTAGTGGTGGTAGTAGTGGTATGGTGTAATTGGGGTGTAGTTTGGGTAGTGGTGGTAGGAGTGGTGTAGTGTTGGTGGTGGTAGGGTGGTATTTTGGTTGGTGTAGTGGTTGTGGATGGTAGTATGGTAGTGGTGTAATTGTGTTACAGTTGGTTAGGGGTTGGTATGTGGTAGTGGTGGTAGTAGTGGTGTAGGGGTTTATTTTGGTTTTGGTAGTTGGTGGTTTTAAGTATTTGGTAGGGGTTTAGTAGTGTGGATATGTAGTGGTGGCAGTGGTGGTAGTGTTGGTAGTGGTGGATTTGTGTGGTAGTGGTGGATGTGGTTTAGTAGATGTTGTGTAGTGGTAGGGGTTTGGTTTAGTGTGAGTGGTTGTAGTGTGGTGGTGTGGTAAGAGTTGGAGTTAGTGGTAGTGGTGGTATGTTTTGGTATTTGTGTAGTGGTGGTAGTAGTGGTATGGTGGTAGTAGTGGTAGTGGTGGTAGTAGTGGTAGTGGTGGTAGTAGTGTGTTGTGGTAGTGTGGTAGTGAGTAGATGTTAGTGGTAGTGGGGGTTTAGTTTGGTATTTAGTGGTAGT